CCTAGTGGTGCTCATTGCAATGCACCCTTGTCTAAAAATGGCAAAATTAAATGTTGATTATCTACCCTACGGAAGGAAATATGGGAAAATTTCTACAGACGGCTGCCCGAAAGTCATATGTGGCGGTTTCAAATATGCCCTTGGATTTGACCTTTGACCTTCATTTCAAGGTCAAAGGGGCAAAATTTAAAAAAAAAAACGAATTTTTTAACGAAAAAAAAGTTATTTGCGCTGATATTTAGAAACTACTCATACTTAACCAATACAATTACTGGAAAGTGTTACCCTTAGGGGCATCTTTCATCTCCGTGCATTTGGGGTCAATCGGTGCATTTTCACGGGAGTAGCGGCCATAAGATACCGAAAGTGAAACCGTTAATGCTAGAGACCCATTCTTTTTTGCATTTTGTAGAACATGTAAAGCCCAACACTGAAGGTGGTATCCGTTTATTTTTTAATTCTATACGGTTTATGAGTTTTTTTTATTGACATCACAAAACAAAACATACGTTTTTCACACTAAACACGTATTACAACATATATGCAACAGACACAAACTAGCATACAGTAGTCTCATTGGACGTTAACAGCACAAGGGAGTGACAGAATACGTTGCACAAAATAACAGAAGTAATAGTATATAATATACATAACACAAACTGATTAACATATATCGTAACATATAAACAAACAAACCAGCTTATTATCATATATAAGTCACACCCGATTCTACATATTACAAACATACCATTTATAATATACCACAGTCACAATATATGTTATTATGACGATTACCGGGAATAACAGAAAGCATCACTCACTTACATAATCATACAGAACAAATAGGCGTTCTGTTTACGAGTTATGCTGTATCAAAATGTACATTGTGGTGTTGAAAGCACAATGTGCAATACAGTAATGTGTAATAAATTTTGAACCCCGGAAAAAAAGATAAGGCTTGGCGAGGCAGACAACTTCTAGTTAAAAATGACATTATTTCATGAAATGTGAACATCTGGAACTTCTGAGCACCTCACGTTTCAAGAATTTTAACCAAAATGACATTTTCTTTATTTAAATTAATTTTTTTTTGTAGGAAATTTATGGCACATTATTGTAACTGGCAGAGATAGGTCCATAGTTATTATTAAAGTTGAATAGGAAGTCACATACTGGTGATTTAACCGTGACCTTGAAATTGACCTTTGACCTACTTTTCACCATGAACTAAACTTTACAACATTTTAGTCCTTTATATCTCAAAAAACTGGCTAAGAAATGCCCATAGTTACTATTGAAATTAAATAGGAAGTCACATACTGGCAATCCAACTGTGACCTTAAAAATGACCTTTGGCCTACTTTTCACCATGAACTGAACTTTGCAACTTTTTTAATGCTTATACTTTCAAAACTGGCAATGATACGCCCATAGTTACTATTGAATTTATATTAGAGGCAATTTACTGTGGCCTTAAAATTGACCTTTGACCTACTTTTCAATATGAACTGAACTTTGCAAATTTTTGTTCCCTTTTATCTCCAAAACTGGCAGAGATAGGTCCATAATTTCTATTGAACTTGAATAGGAAGTAATACACTGGCAATCTAACTGTGACCTTGAAATTGACCTTTATGATGAACTGCTTTTTGCATGTTTTCTGGCCTTTAAGTCTGCAAAATTGGCAAAGAAATGCCCATAGTTACTATTGATCTTGAATAGAAATGCATGGTATTGAAATTGAACTTTGACCTACATTTTCACCATGAACTGATCTTTGCATATTTCCTTGCCCCTCATATCTTCAAGACTAACAGAGATGTGCCTGGTGTTACCCCTAGGTTTTCTCTCTGAAAACACATTTCAAGGAAAACCAATAGGCCTTTTGTCTAGAGAATCACAGGATTTGTAGAAAAATGCAGGTCAATTCGAAAATCTGCTTGATTGTACCATTTTCATTTATATTTTTTGCATATTAAGAGAACTCTTGTTGATTGTATTTTATACGGCTTGTCAAGCACAAGACTGGTGGTGGTGTTCCTTTTTTTTTTTTTTTTTTTGGGGGGGGGGTCTATACGAATGCGCTTACTCTAGCTGGTGGTACAATATCCAGAGGCGGTATCGCCTCTCTGATCCACTAGTTTTTTTTTTTTTTTTTTTTTAGATATTAGTGTATTAAAAGTAAATAATCTGAGAGCAAATATTCCCCTTCTGCTGTTTAATTTACCACCCGGGTCCCCACGCGCCTTTAAACCCCATCCTTGTAAAAAGGTGTTCTGTAAATAATTACGTCAGCTATAACCAGTGGCGGATTTGGGGGCTCTCCGGGGGTCCTGCCCCTTCCTTCCATATTCTATTAAAAACGCAACAAAAAAAGAAACTTCTAGCCAAATCATATTACAGAACCGTACCTAATGGCGACATTTGCCCTCCAAATCACCAATTTTTTGCTGGGCCTTTGAGTGTGCCCCGAAGGTGACGCCAAAGGGGTGGGGGTCGGCCTCGCAATCCAAGGCTCGCCGATCTCTAAAAAAAACCGAACCCACTCCCCCTCAAAAAACTCTGGATCCGCCCCTGGTGATAATTGGCATGGATGACGACAACATAGTAAAATACAACCTGGTGCCAGTGCTATTTTTTCTTTAGTTTATGGGGCTATGGGCTTTTATAACGATTTTTCATCATATGCATTTGGGGCCTGTCTCGCCTATTAACTGATAAATCAAAACAGTAAGATTCCTTGGCAGCAGAGCGTAGGTCTTATTGTTTTTGATTAAAAAAGGCGTTACAACTATATCGTAGCTGTTCGGGTTTTTAATCAGAGACAAAATTCTACACACATAAAAAAGTGCTGCTGTCACGATATCAGCTCAAATAAGCTAATTCTCTCCGGTGTAATTTTAATGTGACAGCATTATATTATAATATGGCAATGATTACTTGTAGATTATCCAGATAAGAAATAATTCCTAACCTACAGATCTAACCACCTTAACAATGACTGAGAAAATTTTAGATCAATTTTTCAGATCTTTTTATTCTCTATCCCATGCCTCATTGACTAATTATACATATTACAGAGTAACATTGATTCATATTGTACAGACGGCTCAGCAAAAAAAAAAATGTACATTTAGTACTGGCCGTCAGCAGCCGAAGAGTTTTCTCAGACCATATGGCCCCGTATTTGTAGTCAATGGACATGTAGCAGATAAGTGCGCTTGAGTGCACGCACTTCAATGTAAACAGAAACCTCAAAACGCTTATTTCATTTTATTAATTTAATTTGGCACTTAAAGTTTTTTAATGATCGTGACCCAACAAGTATACAATGAGAAAAAAATTGGAGTCATTTGACTCTCCAGTCAGCACCAGTCCAGCACCCCTTGACTTTCATGGAGTTAATTTGACTTCAATATTAGGGTCAAATTACCCCAGGACCAGAGTCTTAAGGCTCTTTTATAAGAGGTCAATCACCCCTTGGCTCTAGTGAAGCCTATCCGACTCTTAAATCAGAGTCAAACTACAAGGGGGTCAGAGTCTGGTTGACCCTTTTCAGCGACTCTTTTCCCGCACACTGGACAGTACGCCTCGTTTCAGTACGTATGATGGCGGTGAGCAGACGGTGTGGATGGAACAGTTTTCATCGTCCTTTGTGAGCATTTACATTACTTTATGTGATATGTTGGTAAACACGTCATGTTTCCAGTTTGTTTTCAGGTTGTACCCGCCAACGCATGTCACTGGGGAGGTATGCTCACTCAGTGGTATATTTGCTATGTCATGCTATCTATTTCCAGTTTTACAAACTGTTTGTTATTGCTGTTTCAATACCACATGCGTTCATTCTTTGTGTATGTAACATTAGAATCACATGTAGGTCATTTTGAGTTTTAGTGAAAACTGGTAACTTAATGATAATGCATCAGTTTAGTGGTTGCGGGTTCACCGCGTCTTTGTACGTGGATTTGTTCTGTATTTCATCAGATTTTTTTTCTCTTTAATGTTTTCAGATGGGGTCAGGTGTGTAGGCCTTTTGGTTATACGACACTTCCGGCCTTCCTTGTTTAGCAAGTTTGAATCAAGAAGATTTGCATATAAGAGAAAAATGAGTTTATTTTTCAATTTTGGATCATTTGAAAATTTTGAAATAAATTTCAGAAATAAATTTGTTCATTTACTTTTAATTTGATGTGTTATTTTTCATATCAGAGTGAAATTTTACTGCCTGGGGCCAGTTTTACATGCCCTCCCCTCTGCTGCATTTTAGTGCTTATTTTGGCTGACTGGCGGCAGCACCTAAAGGGTCATGTCATGTCACTGGCAAGCTATGCCATTAATGTACCCTGATTTTTTAATATTGTTTAGGCCTTGAGTAGAAGTATTTAAACCTGAAGTGTTGTGTTTGTTGATGCATGGGAAATATTTTAAGAGAATTAAACGTTACAATGGAAGTGAATGGGATTTTTAATAGTGGTTTGTAACCTTTTGTATCTTCCCTATCAGATGCGGTCAAGTATGTACGCCTTTCGTGTCTACCCTATCAGTGGAAAGAGCATTACCATC